AGGGATGGTGCCCATAGCTTAGTGAGTAGGGTGCCAGCTACATACACTGAGGCAGGCAGGTTTGAACCCGGCCCCAGGTCTGCTAAACAACTGCAACAAAAAATAGCCAGGCATTGTGGTGGGTGCCTATAGTCCTAACTATTTGGGAAGCTGAGGCAAGAGAATTGCTTGTGCCCAAGAGTCTGAGGTTGCTGTGAGCTATGATGCCATAGCACTCTACCCAGGGTGACAAAGTGAGACTTTGTCTCTCAAAAAACAAACAAAAAAATAGTTAAAAGGACATATCCTTTGAACTAATGATCACTTTTAGTAACATTTACTAACTTATAGTAACATTTGATATAAAAATACCCAGATAGGCTAGGCTTGGTGGCTCCCTATCTCATGCCTGTAATCCTAGCACTCTGGGAGGGGAAGGCAGGTGGATCACTTGAGAACCTGAGCTCTCTATTAAAAATGAAAAACTGTGCCAAGAGGATCGCATGAGCCCAAGAGTTTGAGGTTGCTATGAGCTATGACACCACAGCACTCTACCAAGTGTGACAAACTAAGACTGTCTCAAAAGGAAAAAAAATCCAAAACATATACCCAAAGTCTTAAATTAAGGGTATCTGCTGTAGCACTATTTGTAATAGCAAAATACTGAAACAATGTAAACATCTACCAATAAAAGACTAAGCATGGTGGCTCACACCTATAATCCTACCATTCTGGGAGGCCAAGGTGTGTAGATTGCTTGAGCTCAGAAGTTCAAGATCAGCCTAAACAAAAGCAAGACCCTGTCTCTTAGGGTCTTGAAAGAAAGAAAGAAAGGGTCAGTGCCCATAGCACAGTGGTTGCAGCGCCAGCCGCAAGCACCAAGGCTGGTGGGTTCAAACCCAGCCCAGGCCAGCTAAACAACTGCAACAAAAAAAATAGCCAGGCGTTGTGGCAGGCGCCTGTGGTCCCAGCAGCTTGGGAGGCTGAGGCAAGAGAATTGCTTAAATCCATGAGTTGGAGGTTGCTGTGAGCTGTGATGCCATGGTACTCTGCCAAGGGTGATATAGAGACTCTCTCTCTCTCTCAAAAAAAAAAAAAAAAGACACCTGAGAGCTTTCAGAAAAATCCCTGTACCCAGGTCCCTCCCAGAGAGCATCAGGGTCTGACTAAACAGATCTCGAGAGGTGTTTACCTGGGTATTTAAGTTTGTCAGATGATTCTAATTTTCAGCTGGTGTCATGACTCACTGATTTAGATCAGGGTTTGGCAAACTTTTCTGTAAAGGGTCACATATTGAGTATTTTATGCTTTGTGGGTCATTTGTAAGATCTATCACAATAGACCTTAAACAGACAGGGGGCAGCACCTGTGGCTCAGTGGGTAGGTCACGATAGACCTTAAACAGACAGGGGGCAGCACCTGTGGCTCAGTGGGTAGGGAGCTGGCCCCATAACCGAGGTTGGATTCAAATTCAGCCCTGGACAAACTGCAATAAAAAAATAGCTGGGCCTTGTGGCAGACACCTGTAGTCCCAGCTATTCGGGAGGCTAAGGCAAGAGAATTGACTAAGCCCAGGAGCTGGAGGTTGCTGTGAGCTGTGACGCCATAGTACTCTACCGAGGGCAATAAAGTGAAAGTCTCTACCAAAAACAAACAAAAAAAAAGACAGGTTGGGTGCAGTGGCTCATACTTGTAATCATAGCACTCTGGGAGACTGAGGCGGGTGAATAGCTTGAGCTCATGAGTTTGAGACCAGCATCAGCAAAAAGCAAGACTTTGGCTCAGCGCCTGTGGCTCAAGTGGCTAAGGCGCCAGCCACATACACCTAAGGTGGCGGGTTC